AAAATATATTTTGATCAACATCACAAAATTTATATAACTGGCCCAAACTGGCAGATGATGAAATAAGCAATTAAATGTTCAACTTTCCTATTTGTAAGCATTATGTGTCCAGTGGTAAGGAGCCTATTAGGATAGCATAAAAAAGAATGTACAAATGTTAATAATTGATTTATCAAAAAAGAAATTTTATTTCCTTCTCCTTCGGGACTTTTTTAGTTCATAACTAAACCTTAACATAAAAAAAAATGCTGGCCTTATAATGAAGAAAGGGGCCTCTTTCAAAATAGATAATTTCAGGGCTGCTGGGTCAGGGGTACCAGGGGGGTACTTTGACTAAAAATAAATGCTTTGAAATCTGCCCTTTGATAAGCAATGGTGCCTCTTTCAAAATTTGTGAATTTCATGGCTTTTGGATTAAAACACGAACCAAATACAATCGCTGGAAAGTTGTTACATGATATTCAGGTGACCTATAAGGCCCGTGGGCCTCTTGTTTGTATATATATATATAGTGATTACGTAAAATCAAAAACAGTATGTTACCGGCCCCTGTGGTTTCTAAGGCCAAGCGGGGCTGTTTCCCGAACCTCCCTCCACCATATTTAAACTCTGTGATCTTGGTAATAAAGTGGTAAAATAGGAAACTGATTTTGTTATTGTATATTCAAAAAGATTAATCTTTTTAAGCTACAAACAATAAAAGGCTAATTTTAATGCAGCAAAAGCTTTAATTGTCTGCACTCTATTCACAGGTAAACAAACAAATTTACACTCTGGTGTAAAATGGAACAGCATTAAAGCAGCTTGGTGACCTAATTCGATTCTCTATAGAGAAAAGATCAGTCGTATTTTAGGGCTGCTAACTACATGTCGCAGAATAGAAATATAGTCCTTGTTTTCGTGAATGATGCAGAATAACCTCCTTGGTCTCAAAATGTTGATTGAAATATTAAAGCCTCGGGTAACGCCTCGGCTTTTATCTTTCAAACAACATTTCTCGACCTCGGAGGTTATTCTGCAACATTCACGAAAACAAGGACTTTATTTTGTAAATAAATTAATGCTTTGAAATCTGCACTTTGGCATGAGTCAACAATTTTTGATGAAATAAAATTTATGATAAAATTTTTAAAATTTTGAAATATCATGTGGCCCCAGGGTCATATGTTCCTGTGGGATGGGATGCACAACTGGTTACAAAGTGGAAATGCATTTCCTCTTTGTTACTCTGATCTACCTCTGGGTATTAAGTAACCAATTTGAAAGTAAGCATGCTAAGTGTATATTTATGATAAGCAATGGTGTCTCTTTAAAAATTGTGATTTTCATGGTCTCTGGCTTAAAACACAAATCAAATTCAATTATTGGAAAGTTGTTACGGGATACTCAGGTGACCTATAAGGCCTGTGGGCCTCTTGTTAAAAAAATCTGACCATTTTATGTTAATCATAAGAAACATGCCATGTAGTGAACACTTTGATTCTTGTGGCAAAGGATATTTTTATATATTTCCTTTTTAGCTCACCTGAGCGGAAGGCTCAAGTGAGCTTTTCTGATCACATTTTGTCCGTCGTCCGTCCGTCTGTCTGTCCGTCTGTCCGTCTGTAAACTTTTCACATTTTCGACTTCTTCTCAAGAACCACTAGGCCAATTTTGACCAAACTTGGTACAAAGCATTCTTGGGTGAAGGGGAATTGAAATTGTTAAAATGAAGGGACATATCCCCTCGCAAGGGGAGATAATCAAGAAAAGACATAAATAGGGTGGGGTAGAAAAGCTGAAACTTATGTGAAAAAATCCTAGGGTAGTGTAGATATTAAATTGTTCAAATCATGACCCCCGGGGGAAACAATGGGGAATCCACTGGGCTGAAACTTATGTGAAAGCATCCTAGAAATATTAAATTGTTCAGCTTTTAAACTTTGAAAATCTTCTTCATACTGGGCCAGAAAAGCTGAAAGCATCCTAGGGTAGTGTAGATATTAAATTGTTCAAATCATGACCCCCGGGGGAAGGGCGGGGCCACAATGGGGAATCAAAGTTTTACATAGAAATATATAGGAAAAATCTTTGAAAATCTTCTTCTCAAGAACTACTGGGTCAGAAAAGCTGAAACTTATGTGAAAGCATCCTAGGGTAGTGTAGATATTAAATTGTTCAAATCATGACCCCCGGGGGAAGGGCGGGGCCACAATGGGGAATCAAAGTTTTACATAGAAATATATAGGAAAAATCTTTGAAAATCTTCTTCTCAAGAACTACTGGGTCAGAAAAGCTGAAACTTATGTGGAAGCATCCTGGGATAGTGTAGATTCTAAATTGTAAAAATCATGACCCCCGGGGGAAGGGTGGGGCCACAATGGGGAATCAAAGTTTTACATAGAAATATATAGGAAAGATCTTTGAAAATCTTCTTCTCAAGAACCACTGGGCCAGAAAAGTTGAAACTAATGTGGAAGCATTCTTGGGTAGTGTAGACTCTTAATTGTTCAAATCATGACCCCCGGGGAAAGAGAGAGGCCACAATGGGGAATCAAAGTTTTACATAGAAATATATAGGAAAAATCTTTGAAAATCTTCTTCTCAAGAACCACTGGGCCAGAAAAGCTGAAACTTAGGTGGAAGCATCCTGGTATAGTGTAGATTCTAAATTAAATCATGACCCCCGGGGGAAGGGTGGGGCCACAATTGGTAATCAAAGTTTTACATAGAAATATGTTGGAAAAATCTTTGAAAATCTTCTTCTCAAGAACCACCGGGCCAGAAAAGTTGAAACTTATGTGGAAGCATTCTTGGGTAATGTAGATTTTAAATTGTTCAAATCATGACCCCCAGGCGAAGGGTGGAGCCACAATGGGGGGATCAAAGTTTTACATAAAAATATATAGGAAAAATCTTTGAAAATCTTCTTCTCAAGAACCACTGGGCCAGAAAAGCTGAAACTTATTTGCACATGGAAGGATCCTGGGGTAGTTGATTTCAAAATGTCTTAATTATGATCAGTGGGGTAGGGTGGGGATACATAATGTATTACAAGGGGGAAATCTGGTAAAGAACAGAATGGTCAAAGCTTCTCAGGTGAGCGATGTGGCCCATGGGCCTCTTGTTACAAAATAAAAGAGGAAAATGAACAATTACAGAAAGCCAAAGAACAGTATGTTATAAATCTGTTTAAACCAAAATTGAACAGTTAAAAGAAATTTATATCAAATTATTTTATTATGTACAATTTATATTTAAAATGTTGCCATTAATAATAGGTGCTAAAGTTTGATCAGATGAACTGTAAAACTTGATTATTATTACGTCACAATCATTATGTTTAACGTTGCCTACATAATGTTACGAGAATGACGTCATAATGTAAGTTGTATACAATTTCAAATTTACTGATGAGCCTGCATGGGTCAAAAGCGCTTTAGATAAAAGTTTGAGTTTGTCATTTGAATTTGGATTTTATTTTTTCTCTATACCAAGGAAAAATAATTTTTTGAACCAAATGAATTCGGATATCAAATTCACGATGGAAACAGATGACATGCAAATGCCATTCCTCGACGTTCTTGTAACAAAGGATAATACCAGCTTAAATACGGATATTTACTATAAACCAACCGATACACACCAATATCTGCATTTTGGATCGAGCCATCCCCATCACACTAAAACAGCTATACCATATAACCTCGCAAGAAGGATATGCACCATTGTGAGTAATACCAATATCAGGGATATACGACTGGAGGAATTAAAACTGTATTTATTAAACCAAAAATATCCAGAACAACTTGTAGATAATGGTATAAAGAAAGCCAAGGAGTGTGATAGAAGTCAGTTACTTTTAAACATACGACGTGCGAATGACGTTGAAATAATACCATTTGTGCACACGCATAACCCGAGAAATCAAAACATGACTTCAATTATTTATGAATTGAACAACCTACTTAGAGAGGATGAACAAACGAAAAACATATACAAGAACTGTCGTTTTATCAACAGTAAACGCCAACCCAAAAACCTAAAGAGAATACTTTGTTCTTCCCAATTCAACGACCATGCTTATACAGTCTCTAAATTTAAGAACCCTCGATGCGGTACATGTGAAGAAGATTTTCAAACAATTTCATTACTGATTAGTCGAAATGCATTTTTTTGTTCCCCTACCCTGCCTATGGGTATTAAGTAACCAAACTAAACATGCTAAGTGTATAGTTATGATTAGCAATGGTGCCTCTTTCAAAATTGTGAATGCCATGACATCTAGTTTAAAACATGAACCAAAGTCAATCGTTGTAAAGTTGTTGCATGATGCTCAGGTGACCTATAAGGCCCATGGGCCTCTTGTCTTTTTAAATTTTTTTTTGATATTGTTATGCGATTACTGAGACATTATTTAAATTTTGGATATATATATATATATATAAAGCACATTTTACAACAACTCTTAAACTAACATAACTGCCCTAAGTGAAGAAATATTAATATAGAAAGCACAAAGAAATTCACTTTTACATGGATACCCACTTCCGCCCCAGCCCCGGGGTTATATATATATATATATATATATATATATATATATATATATATATATATATATGCGCTAGACCGCTCGGCTATCTAGGCAAGTCTTGCCTAGATAGCCCAGCGGTCTAGAAAGCGCGCTGTTCCTGCACTGCTAGGAGAAGATTCGAAGGTTCGAGAGTTCAACCCCGGGCTGGGGCAGAAGTGGGTATCCATATAAAAGTGAATTTCTTTGTGCTTTCTATATATATATATATATATATATATATATATATATATATATATATATATATATATATATATATACATGTACAAGATTTTTAAAAAGTTTTATGCAGATATATGTATTTGCGATGAACTAATCATCATAATGGATTAGACCTGCATCCTCCAATATATATATCAGTATTTCTTCTCCTTTCATTACAACATTATGTACATGTACAATATAACGGAGTAAAACAAAACTTTTTTAGAATAAAACAGGAGGAGGCATTAAAGAAATCCTCTTCATTGAGTGAGGTTGTAAGTCAGAGTTTTACACAAGATTCCCAGGTGGATTCTCTGAGTTCTGTGTCTGGTGAGGTGACCCTCAATGTACAGGACCTACTCCTGGAGGCCTACAGACAGATCGGGGATCCAGACGGGGTGTATGGATGTGGGGCAGGCCGTCTCCCAGATCCAGTATCAAGGTAGCCTAGATTATCTCTTGATCCATTTTTGTAAATAAACTGAAACAGTTTTCTTCTTTAATTAATCAATTTGGTGGTATAGTTAAACTTAAAAATATGAATGTTATGGACCACATTTTGTATATTGCTTGCGGAATTCACCAAAACAATGTCCTCCAATTTTTATGGTTTAACTAATTAATATAGGATAATTAAGTTGATATTGTTCTTGTTTTGTACAGAATAAGGATGTATGAACATGAGGGTCAGTGGGAGAAGGCTGTTATCACATACGATATAGGGCTCCAGCAGCACAGCCAACAGGAAGTGGACTTACTTAAGGTAAAGGACATCTCTATCTAACAACTCGTGATACCTGGAATAAATGGGGAAAATTTTATTTTCTTTATAATTTAAATCTTTAGGCTCTGGACAGTTTTGGATCAAAAAACTTGTTGGACAGCTACTTAGAAAATTATCCAAATCCAAAGTCTGGTGCAATAAGAAATCTTATCTTCAAGTCTGCAATTAAAGTAGGAAAGTGGGATCTTAACATGGATGAAAGGTAAAACAATCTTTGGAATGATAAAGCTCTGGCATTATACCTTCTAAAAACATCAACACATCATTGACACTGTAGTTTCTGTTGGCAAGTATTTACATTATCGTTTAGCTTTCAAATTTTCCATTCTTTTAATTAAAAGCTCACCTGAGCTGAAGGCTCAAGTGTCAGCTTTTCTGATCACATTCTGTCCGTCGTTCGTCCATCTAGCTGTCTGTTTGTCTGTAAACTTTTCACATTTTTGGCTTCTTCTCAAGACCCACTGGGCCATTTTTAACCAAACTTGGTACAAAGCATCCTTGGGTGAAGGGAAATTTAATTTTCAAAATGAAGGGCCAAGTCCCCTTACAAGGGAAAATAATCAAGAAAAGACAAAAATAGGGTGAGGTCTTTAAAAAATCTTCTCAAGAACTACTGGGCCAGAAAAGATGAAACTTACCATATAAGTAGAATTTTTAGTGAGGATTTAATTTTGGCATTGTTAGCGAGGGTGTCAAAATCGCTAAAATTGAATATCGCTAAAAATTAATTGCACTTTATTTGTTATAGATTCTTTAGTAAGCTTTCTAAAATCTCTAAAATTACATCTCGAAAAAAATAAAATACCAATTTTTAAGGACAAATCGCTAAATTTGCATCTCACTAAAATTTCCACTCATATGGTATATGGAAGCATATAGTAGTGTAGATTCTAAATTTTTCAAATCATAGCCCCCAGATTTGGGCAGGGCCACAATAGGGAATCAAAGTTTTACATAGAAATATATAGGAAAAATCTTCTTTTCAAGAACCACCGGGCCAGAAAAGCTGAAACTTATGTGGAAGCATACTGGGGTAGTGTAGATTCTAAGGCCAAAGTTTTTTTTCTCTTGGCTTACAATTCCGCCAACCCTTTTTTCCCCTATTTACGAAAATAAACATAATGTGTCTGACTCTCGAAACAGTCTTCTTATTCCGAAATTTTCTCGACCAAACAACTGCTTTTTTAAGTTACAACACATCTTAATCATTAAAGCATTTTAAAATCGCAGCACAGCTAAGGTTACAAAAGGGGGCGGAGCCTAATTTGTACTGGAAAACTTAACTATGACATCATAAGCAAAAAACGTCAGACAACAATTGTTTAAAATACCATAAAATGAGGTGATTTGCTAATTTAACCTGTAAGAAATCATCAAACTTCATCAAAACTTACTAAAGCATGCTGTTTTGTCGTTAGTTAAATCCCACATAACAAGTTATAAACAAGTCACTGATCGCAATCCACTTGTCAATGTGACGTCATTTCGTACAACGTGACACAGTTTGTATGCAGTGAGAGGCAGATTAACAAATATTTTTTCAACAAAAAATGTATTCTATAATTAAATAAAACATTAGTTACCGATATGTTATAGGCCATTAGTTTGGATTCAATGTCTTCTTTATGATTTTATTAATTTATTTTCTGTATATTACGTATATAATAGATACTGCCCTATATTTGCATGCAAGCAAATTGGAGGGTTACGTGGGGGTCTTAATAAATTGATCTAGTGCAAGTGCATACACTCAATGGATCATAGTAAGCTTTTACAATTCAACTCTAGAAGTAATAAGTTATCTGAAAATTGCTGCGATCCTGATGAAATCTTAAATATAATTTAGATATATCAATATTTAATGCCATTGACCAGCAAAAAATACAGCATTCTGTCATACAAATATAATTTTAACAATAAAATTGCAGAATTTAGATAGGATCGCAGCACTTTTCAGAAACTAGAATGCGTGTTGAAAATATTTACAAACTAAACTTGGAATTTTAACTTGGTTATGCCCTTGCACTAGTGAAATTTATAAGTAACATCTATACTGCACGTAAATGTGCTAAAATCACGTGACTTCCGCATCACGATACAAGTCTAAATATAAAATCTAATAATTCTCAGTATGTACTTATTAACCATAATTACAATTATCCGATATAAATAATGTACTAAAAATAATTGCCATCCCGATTATGAATACAGTTTTAATTACAATATATTGTCGATATTTCCATTGTGCGCCTTAACTGTACTGCGGCAGACTCTCACAAACATTCAAATGACCTGCTCAAATACAGATTGTCAAACTACATGGCGGGACAAACGTATTTTAAAAAGTTTGTTGTGAAAGCAATCCATCACTTTCGGAGTTTCCAAAAACTTTTTCATAAGTGGAAAGGCTGACCAGAGAATAGGCGATGCACTTAAATTTACCCATATTTGTCCCAGTGCAATGTGTCTATTACGGAAACTCAGACTTGTAATTCGGAAGAATGAAAACCATTGACAGTAACAGATCCTGATACTACCATTTCTGTTCTTGAGTCATTTGGCGTGCGATTCATTTTTGTTGACATAAAACTGAATGGTTCTTAAGAAAAAATAATAAAGTTGAAAAATGTTTTGTGTTTATTACTTTTATTTGAATAGATTTCAATGCTGCTCGAGAAAAAATATGTCAAGGTTCCAAATTATTTCTATTTTTATTTTTCGACCACCCAATGCATATTTTTGTGGTGAAAAAATCATAAACCAAAAAAAAAAACTTTGGCCTAAATTGTTCAAATCATGACCCCCAGGGGTTGGGCGGGACCACAATAGGGAATCAAAGATTTACATAGAAGTATAAAGGAAAAGTCTTCTTCTCAAGAACCACTAGGCCAGAAAATCTGAAATTTATCTGGAAGCATTCTGCAGTGATATAGAATCTAAATTATACAAATCATGACCCCTTGGGGTAGGGCGGGGCCACAAAAAGGAATCAAACTTTTACATATAAATATATTTTTAAAAAATTTTTAATATCTTCTTCTCAAGAACAACTGGGTCAGAAAACCTGAAAACTATATGGAAGCATCCGTGGGTAGTGTAGAATCTATATTATTTGATTCATGACCCCCCGGGGGGTTGGGCGGGGCCACAATAGGGAATCAAAGTTTTACATAGAAATATACAGGAAAATTCTTTAAAAATCTTCTCAAAAACCAATAGGTCAGAAAAACTATGTGAAAGCATCCTTGGATAGTGTAGATTCTAAATTGTTCAACTCATGATCCTTGGGGGTAGGGCGGGGCCATAATTTGGAATCCAAGTTTTACATGTAAACGTTTGGGAAAAAACTTTAAAAATCTACTTCTCAGGAACTACTGGGCCAGAAGAGCTGAAACTTATGTGAAAGCATTATGGGGTAGTGTAAATTTTGAATTGTCCAAATTTGACAGTCATTGACCTGTGGGGTAGGTTGGGGTCACAATAGGTATGAGGATTGATCCAAAAGTAATGTCACAGTGTCCATATCTTTTATGGACACTGTCACATTATCAAATACAATATACCAAAAGATGCACAAATATAAATCTAATTAACATTGAAATTTTAATTTAATGTTTATTTGGATTTATTTTGTAGATGTTTAAAATATAGAGTATAGGGGGTGTCGCTGTGTCACAACGGAACGGAACGTTTTAAAGCGTATCTTTTTTAGAATGAAAAAGACAAACACATTAAAAAGATTCTAAAAAAATATCTTATCTCCTAATTTTTTTAAAAGACACAATTCTCATCATTTTCTATTCTTTAATTGAAAATTAAATGACGGCAATGGTATTTATACGCCCATCTTAAGACGGGACGTATTATGTTATAGGCTTCGTGTCCGTCCATCTGTCCGTCTGTCTGTTAGCTTTTTTGTTTCCGGCTCATAACTTTAATACTGTTAGGTCTAGGATTATCAAACTTTGTCATCTGATGAATCTTGGGTAGAGGGTGTGTCACGCACAAAATGTAGGTCGCTCTAACCTTTAATTAAGAAGATGTAGCCAAATATGGAAAAATCCTTTCTGGCCCATAACTAGAAAACTATAAGACTTACAATCATCAAACTTGGCTAGTTTATGCATCTTAGGTAGAAGGTGTGTCGCGACCTATTTCAAGGTGTGACCTTTGATTTAAGTGAAATTTTAAAAAAAAATGTGTCTTATTACTTTTCATTTTCACATCCCAAATAATGTAAGAGTATTGCACTGTCCTTATTAAAAAAGTGTTAAATCAAGAAAATACTTATTTTTTTAAGAATATACTTGACAGCAATCTATAACAAATATAATGTATGTTAGAGAAATCCTACCTCTCCCATGAGTGTAATTATCTAGCACTGGTCAAGAAGAATTTTGATAACAGAAAATTGCATGTCAAATTAGAGAGAGATTAATGAGTTTAGTGTGAGGAGCTAACTGGCAGCTAGAGCATTGGTGCTATCTATATCCCTTGAGTATTGGGCAAATGGTTAAGCCTGTTGGATTAAAAAAGCTCTTGTTGGCTAACCTAAGTTTTAAAATGAACTTGATGAAAAGTAATTAAAACTAATTTGATATTGCATAATAGACTAATCTGATATTATACATTAATATCATTAATTTAAAAACTAATTTTATGGGGTGGGATGGAATCAGTATGTCCATATGAATGACATAAAAAAACCTGTCGGACATTAAATCTCAACCAAAAAAAATCTTTGAGTATTTTATATGTTTTAAAAAAAATTTTTATGGTAGATAGTGCAGACCCATTCATCTCTTGGTAGTAATGAGTAGACAAGATTAATGAGTTCATTGTAGGAAGGCTATCTGATCAAGCAGTCTTATCTGTATCCTTTGGGGATTAGACAGAAGAACTGCTGGTCAGTTTATAGCATATGTCATTTGATGGCCAGCCTTTTCTTTTCAAAATTAATTTGGTATAGATTAAGGTGTTAAGACTAATTTGATATTGTTTAATATGATGGGCATTTGACAAGGTCTAACACAACCAGCGTAGAAATCTATCAATGATGTAATATTTATTATAATCAATGCCTACATCACAGGGGATGGATAAATATTTTCAGGAATGGAAAAATCATCAAAATCTTAGAATCAAGGTTGACCTGATTTTCTTGCACGCTAAACTGTTCAAGAAAAATGTAATTTTTTGACGGGCGTATCATGCTGTGGCATGGCACTTTATTGTGATCATAAATGTTGTTGATTTACTCCGTTAAATTGAACAAAGGGATTGTCGAAATGGGAAAAAAAATGGCTCAACGAGTTGTAACGCATTTGTTGCTTCAAAATATGGGAATCATCACAAGCGACAGTAACCTTAATTAATCAGACTTACAGAACAAAGAATCTAAATAAGAGACATCTTAATAGATGGTTTCAGTAACTTTGGGCGGGTGATTGGTCACTGAATGATCAGCAGAGGACAAAAAGACCGAAAGATAGAAGATTGGATGGAAACGTTCAATCAGTGGTGTCTGATGTCAAAAAAGTTTGTCTTTGCTACTGTTCAAAAAATTTTGACAGATCTAGAGAGCTTAATTATGAAATGAGTGAGTGTATAATGGTACCAAGGACTCTTAAAGAAAGTGGAATTGGTGAAAGTGTTTGTGAATCACAAATATTTTTTAATAAACAGGGGTAACGCTTAAAAGTATGACGGTGCATATCCGTCATATGACATTATATTTAGGTGAGGCGACTACCATAAATGGACATTCTTTAAAATTCGATATTTTGGAAAGTATACATTATATTCCTTTGAATTTTTCAGGTCTGATTTGAAATAAATGAAGCTTCCATCATGTGTAATTTTGTTGCTTTACGTCAATTTATAGCAATTTTATCAAAGTTGTGACATTATTTTTGGATCAACCCTCGTATTACAAGGGGGAAATCTGGTAAAGACAAACATGGTTAAAGCAATCTCAGGTGAGCGATGTGGCCCAAGGGCCTCTTGTTTTTATTCTAGCAGTGAATGTAGTTTTGATGAAGCAGTACACAGATCCTTGTGTACACTCAAACATTCTCAGTTCTCTATTGTGTCCACTGCTCTGGATATGGCAAGGTGAGAAAAACTGCAGTACTGATTCAGATTTAAAATAACTGTATATTCCAAAATTATTTCCCATTTTATTAAAATCCTTTGTAGGTCACCTTAGTTAACTCAGTGACCTATTGCTATCTTTTTTCATTTGTTGTCATCCATCGGACATTGGTTCTTCTCTGAAACCACTGAACCAATTTCTTTGGCATATAGCATCTGTGGGTGACATTTTTAGCTTCCTCTCTGGAAACCACTAAAAATAGTGCAATCTTTAAAAATCTTCTTCTTTACTCCCGGACATCAAGCAGTCAAACTGTTGATGTGACCAAAAATTGTCAACCAAAAATCTTCTTCTCTGCTCCTGGGTATTGAATAAACAAATTAAGGTGCCTACCAAAATTGTGAAACTCATGGCCCCAGGGTCAGGGGTTCTGCATCTATGATTATATAGTGAAAATGCATTAACAAAAATTTCTTCTCTGCTCCTAGGTTTTAAATAAACTAACTAAGACATTTATGCTGATGCCTCTACCAAAATTGTGAATTTTATGGCCCTCCTTGGGATTGATTATATAATGAAAATGCATTAAATCTTTGAAAATCTTCAAAACACAATTCAGTAAAATTAATGCAACCTTTAAAAATCTAAATAGTTATGATGAGCTGCCTCTACCAAAATTGTGAAACTTTACTTATATAGTGAAAATGCATTAAATCTTTGAAAATCTTCTTCTCTGCTCCTAGGTTTTAAATAAACTAACAAGTACTGTTATGATGCTTGAAAATTGTAATTTTATGCAATATTTACATTATTTCTTTGAAAATCTGTGTTTTAAATAAACTAACTAAGTACAATTGTGAAATTGTGATTTGAAGACATGAAACAAATTCAATCATTTGAAAGTTGTTGCATATGCTCCTATAAGGCCCGTGGGCCTCTTGTTTCATTTGTTGTCATCCATCGGACATTGGTCGTAAACTTTTGAACATTTTTAGCTTCCTCTCTGGAACCACTGAACCAATTTCAACCAAATTAGGTATAAAGCATCTATGAGTGAAGAGGAACAAAAATTGTGAATTTCATGGTCGCTGCCCTCCTTGGGACTGACAGCTCCAAAACCACTGCAACCTTTAAAAATCTTCTTCTTTAGCATCAAGCAGTCAAACTGATGTAATTAGCAAAACATTAGCTGTGTTTTTCTAACCAATTGTGAAATTGATTTGAAGACCATTTAAGTGTATACTCAGTGACCTGATCCAGTAGAAATAGTAAATACAGTAGAAATTCAAATATTGAGTATATTTTAGTTGCTTCCAAACATGTAAAATGTAAATATAAGGAATGTTTTTAAGTTTAGTGTGAATTATTGGTGTGTGAATCACACAGACTTGCACATAGGCATATGCCTACGTGACAAGTCTGTGTGATTCACACACCAATAACTCACACAAAACTTAAAAACATTCCTTAATTGAGTCCTCTACCAGAATTGTAAATTTCATGGCCCCTGGATCAGGGGTTCTGTGTTAGGGTGGGGCTATATAGATCATATAGTAAAAGTGCATTATATCTGTGAAAATCTTCTCCTCTGCTCCTGGGTATTAAACAAACTAACTAAGTTCATAGTTATGATGACCAAGAGTGCCTCTTCAAAAATTGTGAATTCATGGCCCCAGGGTCAGGGTTTCTGGTGTTAGGGTGGGGCTATATAGATCATATTGTAAAAGTGCATTATTTCTTTGAAAATCTTCTCCTCTGCTCCTGCATATTAAACAAACGAACTAAGTACATACTTATGATGACCAAGAGTGCTTCTTCGAAAATTGTGAATTTCATATACTTAATATATAGAACTTAAGAGTGCCTCTTCCAAAATTTTGAATTTCATGGCCCCTGTGTCAGGAGTTTGGTGTAAGGGGGGAAGGGGGGCTCTTAATTATATAGTGAAAAAAAATTAAATCTTTAAAAATCTTCTTTTCTCATGGGTATTAAATAAACTAACATAGTATATAGAAACTAGAAATATGTCCATTGGACATGAATGCCCCGCCAAGGGTATATTAGTAATGTAACATGAAAATTTGTATTTGTGTGTGAAATTTGATCAGAATATCTTGAATAGTGATGCAGCTGAATTGCTTACATCAGTATCCATCAGCATATGAAGTTTAACACTAATTTCTTTAAAATGAGGTCAAGGTCAAAGGAAATGCCAAGGTAAAAAACTGTTGATGCAGTTGAAAAGTATGTTTCAGCATATGAAGTTGAAAAAAAAATATTATAAATGGTTTCTTTAAAACTGACTAAAAACATTTTGATAAAAGTGAGGTCAAGGTCAAATGAAAGGTCAAGGTCAAAAATGTTAATACAGTTGAATTGCTTACATCAGTATGTATCAGCATATGAAGTTTTACTCTGATTTAAGAAAAGAGAAGTCAAGGTCAAAGGAAAGGTCAAGGTCAAAAATGTTGATGCAGTTGCATATCTCGCATCAGCATGTATCAACATATGAAGTTTGAATAAAAATATCTAGAATGATTTCTTTGATTAAAACTGACTTAAACACAATTTGATAAATATTGATGTAGTTGAATTGCTTACATCAATATGTATCAGCATATGAAGTTTGACACTGAGTTAGGAAAAGTGAGGTCAAGGTCAAAGGAAAGGAAAGGCATATGAAGTTTGTAACAGCATGTGAAGTTTGATAAAAATATCTTGAATGAAAAAACTGTGACTAATTAAAGATAAGTGAGGTCAAGGTCAAAGGAAAGATCAAGGTCAAATAAAAGGTCAAGGTAAAAAAAAATGTTGATGCAGTTGAATTGCTTACATCAGTATGTATCAGCATATGAAGTTTGACAGTGATTTAGGAAAAGTGAGTTCAAGGTCAAGGTCAAAAATGCTGATGCAGTTGCATATCTCTCATCAATATGTATCAACATATGAAGTTTGATAAAAATATCTAAAATGGTTTCTTGAAAATTGATCTAAACACTAATTAAAGATATGTCAGGTCAAGGTCAAAGGAAAGGTCAAAGTCAAAAATGTTGATCAGTTTAATTGCCTGCATCAGTATGTAACAGCATGTGAAGTTTGATAAAAATATCTTGAATGGTATCTTTAAAACTGAGCTAAACACTAATTAAAGATAAGTGAGGTCAAGGTCAAAGGAAAGATCAAGGTCAAATAAAAGGTCAAGGTAAAAAAATGTTGATGCAGTTGAATTGCTTACATCAGTATGTATCAGAATATGAAGTTTGACAGTGATTTAGGAAAAGTGAAGTCAAGGTCAAAGGTCAAAAATGCTGATGCAGTTGCATATCTCTCATCAATATGTATCAACATATGAAGTTTGATAAAAATTTTTTTTGGTTTCTTGAAAATTAAATACCAATATTCACAATATATTTACACAGCCATTATTTACAATAAATAGAACTAAAGTCACTAATATCGTTGGCTCAAAGACGCAGACACGCCCCGTTTCACGACGGACTCCCGCCAACTGGCTCCCATGGGTATGTCAAGGTCGTCACCAACACACACATGGTCAAATTGGATTAAGGTTAAATAACATTTTTTAAGTCAAAAATGTATACAAAAGGAAAACTCAAGTTTAATTGCACTAATGCACACCATTAGTATGTAACAGCATGTGAAGTTTGAATACAAACATTTGGGACGTATAAATGAATAGTAAAAAGACACATTTTTTTTTTAAAAATTCACTTAAATTAAAGGTCACAGTGACCTTGAAATAGGTCGCGACACACCTTCTACCTAAGATGCATAAACTGGCCAAGTTTGATGATTGTAGGTCTTATGGTTTTCTAGTTATGGGCCGAGTTTTTTTCCATATTTGGCTATAACTTCTTTAATTAAAGGTCAGAGCGACCTACTTTTTGTGCGCGACACACCTTCTACCCAGATGCATCAGATGACAAAGTTTGATAATCCTAGGCCTAGTAGTATTTAAGTTATGAGCCGGAACCAAAAAGCTAACAACAACGGACAGACGGACAAGACGGACGGAACACGAAGCCTATAACATAATACGTCCCGTCTTAAGACGGGCGTATAAAAAACTAATAGAAACTTATAAGTGTTTTATAATCCACTTATTAGCAATTTATTTAAGGAATAACTGTCTTATTTTTCGAATTCATGAAGTGGATCAATGGAATGGTAAAGTGTGATAATGTTGATGCAGATGAATAGCGTCTCATCAGTATGTATCACACAAGTTTAATAACACCATCTTGAATGGTATGTTTAAAACTGAGCTAAACAGTAATTTACATGCTTTGATTCCGCCAATCCACGGGCTCCAAGCCTGCTTCTCTCTAGTTGTTGTTCCGCCCTACACGTGGGTTTTGTTTTTTTTTTTGGAACCGCGCCAAAACATTCATGAGGAAATCAATTACATTTACAATTGGTAATTTTATCTCGGACAAAGACATTGGAAATGTAAATATAAGTCACTTATAATTTTTTTAATTTACTTATAAGTTTACTATAAGTCAAAGTAAGTAAAAGTGAGGAACAGATTTCGTTAATACTTCACTTATAAGTAAAGATGAGCTACATATCAGTGAATATTTCACTTATACCTCACTTATAAGTGAAGATCAGTATAGTATGAGCAAGTATAAGTGTGGACTTAGAATTTTTACCATATACTAGACTTCTCTCAAGGAGCATTATGGGTATTCAAGGTAGCCAATCAGAAAGTTTGTCTCTGCAGAGATCAGCAACAAGAATTTGAAACCAAGTTTGTGTCTGTGAAAGGCTGTTAGAGATTTTAGATTTATTTTGAGTATGCCTTCACATCAGGTACAACAAGTAGGTTCTATTTACATCATCTCTCTATTTTAACTTCCTTTGCCTGAAATTTTGAATCAATTGACTCAGTTGCTTTTAGATTTCATAAATTTGAAGAAGCCTCAAGGTCATTAAATCTTGTTGCCTTTTTGTTCAACATTCTTGTTTGTAAACTGAATTAATATGTTAAGTTTGC